AGAATGGACAAAGTCTACCAGTCTGAAAAGTGAGTCCATCTGGCCAGAAGATCCTGTCCAACCCACAACCTCGATCTTCTACAGGTCTCCAACCTCACCCCACAATCCCTTCTAAAAATGAACATACCACCTCACCAGTTTGGATCAGTGGATAGAGCATTGGCCTGCGGACTGAAGGGTCCCAGGTTCAATTCCAATCAAGGGCATGTACTTCAGTTGCAGGCTTCTCCACGGCCCAAGCCCTGGTCGAGTCTCGTGCAGGAGGCAACCAATCAATGTGTTTCTCTCACATCAATATTCCTCTGTTTTTCCCCTCTCTCTTGCACTCTCTCTAAAAATCAACAGAAAAATATTGTCAGGTGAGGATTAAAAATAAATAAAGTGCTAAATTGGTAAAAATAAACAAATAATAAATAAGTAAAAATGAACAAACCTAGAGGCCCCAACTCCACACCCAGTGCGCAGGCCGACAAGTGTCTCCCAGCGAGGCAGGCTGAGGATGCCCCGATGCCCAGCCCTGTAGGGGAGTCCTGCCACCTTAAGCACTTGGCCCCTGGGGGACAAATGGACTCCTCCAAAGGGGGGCTAGGGACAGAGTGAAGCAGGATCCACTGCGCCCAGCCTGCCCAAAGTCAGGACTGGCAATGTCCTCTCTGGCATCTGGAGCAGCTCAACCCTTCCCCCCACTGCCCAGCCCTCCTCTCAGCTACCCGAAGTGTTTTTTCAGGAGGGGCTAAGAACAGAGACGAAGAGCAGGGCCCTGGGATCAGGGTTAAAGTCCCAGCCCCACCACTTGCTGTAACTGTTCCCTTTCCCAGTCTGCGTCCTCATCCCACACAGGAACTGTAAGGCTACTTAACTCAGGAGACTGACAACTCAATTAAGAAAATCTAGCTAAACAAATCCTATAGACCTATATTAAGAGCTCCAGAATATTTTTTTTAATGTTTTACAGCTAAGACCCCCAGGCAGCCAACACTTAGGGGGGCCCTGCTAGCTGCAACCCACCAACTGGCCCAGCCTGCCTGTATTGAGTCCAGCTGAGAGCGAAGTTGAGGGGTGTGAGGGTGGTAGTACATGTGCAGCAACCTTCCCCCCAACCCACAGCGCCTGGTATTCACCAGCCTGGGCCACACCATCTGGGGCTGCACCTCCCTCAATATCCACGCCTTGCCTTCCCTGGCAGCAGAGCACGTGGCCTCAACCCTAGGGAGCCATTTCCCTCCTAGAGCAGTGCCTCAGGAAAGAGACTGCAAATCCCGAACTTGGGCACGCGGGGGAAACCCCCCACGAAGCTCTGCCGTCCCCCGGGTGGTGTTCAGGATACAGATGGCCAGACCCTCCCTTCTAGCTGTCGGAGTTGCGGACATCGGCATTTTAACAAGTGTCCAGGGTGATTCTGGTGGGAGTGGCCCGTGAAGGCATCACCCTTTGTAAAAGGTGGATCTGGAGCAACCGGGTCAAACTAGTAAAGTGGCTTTTTCTAACAACCCGGGTCCAATTTGCAAAGTAAGCGGAGAGCTGCGGACCTCGGACCACCCACCCGCTCACCGCGCGGGGAGACCTGCCGCTTTCGCTTTATGGCTCGGGGAAGAACGTGCGATGGGAGGGAAAGTCTGCGGTAGAGACCTACGTGCAGGGTCTGCTGAGACTCGGCGCGGCTTCTGGTACCCACTACCCCAAACGCTCCCCCACCTGGCCGGCCTCGCCCATCCCGCCAGCAGAGGCTGAGCTTTGTGCGGGGGAAAGCGTGGCCCGGGCGCGCCTACAACTCCCACAATGCCGCACCGGAGGGTCGCGGGGAACTACAGCTCCCGCGAGGCGGCGCGCCGAGGTCCGCCTACTCCAAGAGGGCTGCAGAGTCACGTCCAGGCCTCGCTAGTAAACAGCGCCCGGGCGGCCAGCGAGCAAGCAG